CCCATTTGACCTAGCCTGGATGGCTTGATAATCAGATTTCAACTAGAAAAAGGTTAAAAAACAAAACAAACAAAACAAAAAATCAAGCAATTTTTGATAAAGGAAACAAGGGTAAATTGCTACAATTTGATGAACCTGACCTATACTAATGGAGGTAGTAACTCTAAATACTAACAGAGAGGAAAGGAGTCTTCATATCAAGTATCAATGCTATTCCTGTGTACACAGGGTAGATAGGGTCAGGCAACTAAGATATTGGCTAAAATGAGGGGGTGATAAAGGCACAAGATGACTGGCTTACAAGATTTCAAGAGGGAGTTTAGTTTAAGAGTGTGGAGGGGAAGAAAGAGTCCCCACTGAATAGTTTTCATCTTGTCTAAATGGGTCTGGTTAAAAGAGATGGGGATACGATTCTTATGATTCAATAGTGAGTAATAGTGACCATGATTAATTACGACTGTCGCAATTGTAAAGGTAGAAGTTTTGTAACAAAAACAGAAGAGAGTTAATCTTACAGTCTAGAAACAAAGGACCTTAGAACCATCAAGGGAGAAGAGCACAAGTGGAATACGAGACCTCATCCAGAAAAGCAATGACACCAGAGATGGAGGCAGAGATGGGGACATGGAGAGAGGGAGAAGCTGAGGACTCTAGATTCATTGGCAGAAAGGGAGTAGGAGATGGTGGCCAGGAGGCAGACTTGTAGAATGTGCCCATTGGTGGTGTAAATTGTTATATATGTCTGACTGTTAAAAAAAAAAAAAAAAGAGCTCAAGTGAATAGAGAGAAATGCTGATGGTACATGGAGGGGATTATAATCATTTTCATGAAACAAGGTATATGATTTGTTGAATGTAAAACTGATGATCTGCCCTGTAAACTTTCACTCAAATCACAGTAAAACTTATTTTTTAAAAAATGAATATAGGTAATGGAAATTAACATGTGTATTTCACATAATAAAGCTATTATTCCTCTGTGTCTTCACTCAATTGAATTAATTTTTTGTATGATTTAGCTTTCTCATCTGTAAAGTGAGAGTAAATAAAAATGATTCTCTCACAGTTTTTTGTTTTTTTAATATTAGTTAATGTGCAAAAAGTCATCAACATGACAACTGTTATATAATAAACATAGAAATAATATATGTAGAAATAAATATAGATAGTAAGTAACAGAAAGCAAAAACAAACTAAAGTTAGACTTTTCTAGGAAATGTAAGGAAATTTATGTTTTATAACTGAAGCATTTATGGAGTATATTATATTTTATCGAATCTGAGTCTGAGATATTGTTGTTGTTGTTGTTAAGTGCTGTCGAGTAGATTTGGACCCATAGCGACCCTGTATGGGGTTTCTGAGGAGCAGCTGGTGAGCTTGAACTGCCAACCTTGTAGTTCAAATGGTTTTCCAGTCTGGCCCATTAATCCACAGCGCCACACCAGGACTCCAGTCTGGGATATACTTGACAGTTTTTAAATCTATTGTTTTTATGTGCTGTCAAGTTGTTTCCAACTCATTGGGAGTGATTTGCTGTCCAGTGTTGATCTTACAACACCACACCAGGAGTAGTGGTATAGGATAATCACTGGACTGCTAACTGCAACGTCAGGGGTTCAAACACACCAGCTGCTCCTTGGAAACTCTATACAGTTTCACTATGGGTTGAACTGACTCTATAATATTTAGCAGTAACAACAACTAGTAATAAATGGAAACAAAATTCTAGAAGGAAAGTACAGAACCTTGTATGTACACAAAGTAAGGCTATATTGACTGACATATATAAATGCAAGCATTATTCATTGTTTCTTTCTTAATTTAGAATTTACCTATACACAATAGAGAATTTGGAGACAAATTTATATTGTTAGACTTTATGAACACTCCAGTACATGTACTGGTTTCCATTAATAATTTTTCAGGACTTGTGGTCTCTCCCTCTCAACCTCTCCTTTGAATCAATTACAATAAGTTTGAATACTATTGCTCTCATTTTAAAGCTATTAGAAAGAACCCACGTGCAAAATAAACACATAAACAAAGGGTAAACTAAGGAGAGCGTATTAATGATAAAATTACAGATTGTAAAACTCTACTTTAACATGTGTTGACTGATATTCATGTTTCTTGGTACATTTTAAGAAAGTAAGAATATAATAAACAATTTTGGATATGGAACTCATATAATCTATCATTACATTTTTATCTGTCAATGTTTTCAATCTTCTTACAGCTGCAAAACCTAGTTAAAAATACTAATGACTAAGTTTCTCCACTGATTTCCTTTTTAAATTAGTAGTCTCTTAATTTTTATTCGGGGTGACGTTAGGTATTATATGCATTCAGCATTTGAATCAGGTACTAAAACATCTGAAATATGTCCCATGAGAGTTAACATGAGCTAGGTTTATAAAGGAGCCCTGGTAACGTAGTGGTTATGAATTGGGCTGTGAACTGCAAGGTCAGCAGTTCGAAACTACCAGCTGTTCCAAAGGAAAAAGATAAGGCGTTCTGCTCCCATAAAGATTTATAGCCTTGGAAACCCTGTACAGAATGTCACTATGAGTCAGAACCGAATCCATGGCACACAGCCACCAGCCAGCAGGTTTATATAATATTTATCTCATTATTGATGTTGCCACTCTACATACTTTAGCACTGGCAGTCAAAAATAAGAAAATAGGGAGAGTGTACATTTCTGGATCACAACATATGAGCTATCATGTGTCATGTAGTTAATCAGTGAAGTCACTGAATCTCTATTTCTTGATGGTTCTACTCTTATCATTCTATACAGAGGCCTGAGGTTTCTTTTCAGTAGAACAAGAGACTTACATTCCTTCTTCTTCCAAACAAAAATGAAACCCACTGCCATTCAATCAATTCTGACTCATAGTGACCTTATAGGACACAATAGAACTGCTCCATAGGTTTTCTGAGCCAGTAAATCGTTATGGTAGCAGACAGTTTCATCTTTCTCTTGATGAACGGCTGGTGAGTGAATCTCCAGCCCTAAGGTTATCAGTCCAATGTTTAACTCACTGTGCTACCAGGACTCCTACTCCACACTCTATTTATGATTCATCTATAGGAATAATTATAACATTTATCTTTGTCATCCTTTTGAGTGCTACCTTTTTTTTTTTGGCATAATATGCATAAAGTCTTTTGTGATCTTTTTTCTACATTAGAAAACTACACACTCAAATAAATGTAAATTAAAGAGGAGTTGTTTCTAAGACATTATTATGTGTATTGGTGAAATATCGCTACCATATTAAAAGGAAAGGATCTAATTGATCTGAATAGATAAAAGTAACACTTACACATTTCCATATCTTTTGCAATTCATAGACTCAAACCATCTATCAAAAGAAGATGGGTGCTGATTCACAATGAAAATGGATATATGTACAGTGTGACTATTTCCTGTGATACATCCCAGTTGTATGTTTTATAACATATATTTTTAATTTTATGAATAAAGTGACATCATCAGTAAGATGAACAGTATCTTATTTATTTTATAGTAATCTGCTAGTAAGTCAAATGATGATGATAGACAACAGCTCATTTAAAAAATTATTCAATGACATAAATATAATAATAACTCTTTATATAATACAGTCTTTATGAGATGCTCTTATATTTATGTTTTAAAAACATAAGGAATTCCACTACTTCATATTAACTTATCTGCTTCCAATAAATACTGTTGTAATTAATTTAGTACATTTTATGTAAAATTAATGTTAAATTAATTTTTTAAAATTATTTTTAAATGCTTAATTTTTTAAAAAAAATTTTGGGAACGATCTACTTGTATTATTATTATTATTATATTAAGTAAAGGACAAAAGTCATGATACTGGTGTTGGCATACTATCAACTAAACATGCATTTATACCTTTTATAAGATATTTGTATCAGAAATAACTAAAAAAAGAAATAAGATATTCTTCATTTCCTTTAAAGAATTCACAAAGTAACTTATATCCTAAAATTTACAAAATATTGACCACTGTTCAATACAACATGAATCTGAAAGTTCACAATCAATTCCCAAATCTTTTTCTCAGAACACGTACGAGGTAAATAATACTAGATATTAAATCAATCCTTTAAAAAGACATTTGGACTCATCTATTGTCAATTCACAAATAGATCGCAAATACTATTTGTCTAAGAAGCTGAGATACATACAACTGGATAAATTTTCTTGCCAGCATTTCATAAATTGTTTTATTTTATGTTACTAAATCTATGTGTCCTATAGTCAAATCTAAACTTCATTATTGCATGTTCTACTTTTTATTAAAGTGGCAATTAATGATGAGAAAATTATATAGTAACATTCCAAACAAAACCAATTCAACAAATATATGATAAATTTATGGGATTTTGATGCTTCCCAAAGCACAACTCAACCATCTCTCAAGTATTGTCATTAGTTCAGAAACGAAAGTAAGAAAAGTACATCTCTGAAACAAGCTATCATATTTTACTTTAAAAAATGAAAAATATCTTATTTAAACCAAAATATCTGCATTTTAATCTCATAATGCATTATTGAGAGATTAAATGCATTCTGTGGACTGTTGAATAGATATTGACAACCATATTGTCATGAAAAAAAGGGAAGGGTATTTCATAATATTAATCTCCCAACAGAGATCACCAAACTGTTTTCTATGGTGTTGGTGATCTGAACTCAAACCTCAGTTACATATGTGAATAGTAACATTCATCTTTGCCATCCTTGTAGATTTTTTTTCTGCCATCAGTACAAGCAGTATGTAGTACCAAGGTTTCCTTGCAATTTAAAAAAGAACACACATACACATACAAGCGACTTCAAAAATTTAGTTGAAAAATTAAATCGAAACATATTGGATTTTTACTATGAACTTTTTGAAGCCTCTTCATATATATGCCCATACACATACACAACTATTCTATTAAATTGCTTGATTTTGTTTGACTATAAACTTACCCTACCTTTGGTTTTTGATGTTTCTCCTTCTCTGAAGCATTGGATGGTTTCCTCTTCAGCATTTTGAATTCTAACTATTTCCAGAGTGCGTGCACTTTCTGTTGTTACAGAAACAACTGAAAACTGTCAAAACTATGCTCTCTATGATATACAGCATCAGATAAGTTTCAGCCCAGTGATCTACCACTTCCTCCTTTAGTCAGGATATGACTTCAACATCTAAGTTTTTTTTTCCCTTTTTTTTTTTCTTATTGTACCTATTTGGTAACTCTTTGTTGCCCTGCCCCTGCTATATTCTGTGAGGTGAGTTCTCAAATTACACACTTCAATGTACCCATAGTTATCATAAGGGCCATAATTATTTGAAGGCAAAGCTTACTCTTTCAATTTATATAAAAATAAAAATCAACAACGCATTCTATAGGTAGAAGGAAGAAAGTAACTGTATCAATAAATGAAATAAAACTGGAGATTTGGGCTTTTTAAAGATATTAAAAATCAAAGCAAAAATATTAATAATCAGTAATCAATTTTGCATTTGTAACTAACATTGCTAGAAGATTAAACATACTAAGTTAAGCATACTAACAATGCTTAAAGTTTAGCTCATTTAAACTGCCAGGCAGGGAATACTGTGACTATATCATGGACTGCCAGAAGAATGAACAAATCTGTCTTGGAAGAAGTATAGTTAGAATATCCCTTAGAAGTGGTGATTTCAAGACTGTCTCACTTGCTTTGGACTTGTTATCAGGAGAGACCAATCCCTAGAGAAGGACACATGCTTTGTATAGTAAAAGGGCACCAAAAAGAGATACTCTCAACAAAACGGATAGACACAATGACTGCAACAATGGGCAATAATTGTGAAGACTGGATAACATTTTGTTCTTTTATACATGGCTACATTATGAATTGCAGGCAGAGTGCTCCTTGGAGACCAAGATGGCCAAACTTTGTCTCTCATACTATGGACATATTGTAAGGAGGAACTAGTCGCTGCTGAAGGACATCAGGTTTGGTAAGGTGGATGGTCACAGAAAAAGAGGAAGACCCCAGTGAGATGGATTGGCAAAGCGGCAGCATCAATGGGCTCAAGCGTGGCAATGGTAATGAGGTTGGCTCAGGATCAGGCAGTGTTTCATTCTGCTGTGCATAAGGTCGCTATGAGTCAGTACCAACTCAATGGCATGTAACAACAACAACATTATGAATTGGAACCAACTTGATAGCATCTAAGAACAACAATTTGATGGCATCTCACATTAATTAATGGTATCCTGGAGTAGTGCTGTAAAATAACCACTAGACTATTAACCTCAAGGTCGGTGGTTCAAAGTCACCAGCCCCCGCTCTCCCCCCTTGAAAACAGCATACAGGGTCGCTATGAGTCAGAACTGACTTGACTACACTTGACAACAACAACAATACCAGTTGCTGGGGAGTTGATTCTGACTCATGGAGATCCCTTGTATTTCAGAGTAGTAGTGCCCTTCATAGGATTTTTCTGGCTATAACCTTTAAAAAGTAGATCACTGGACCTTCTTTCTTAGGTGACTCTGGGAGAATTTGAACCACCAACCTTTCAATTAGTAGCTCAGTGCTAAACCAATTGTGCCAACCAGGGATTCCTAAAAATTGCCAATCCAATTTAAAGCATGCATTTATATGAATGAAATTCATACTAAATACAAATTAGAATGTTAACCCAGAAAAAAACATATATGTATATTAAGTGATGTTTTAAATGTATGACTGCATTTTAAAACTCTGGTTAATAAGTACATCAATTAAACAGAATCCTCGATTAACTAGATGTCTGCCTACTACAAACTAAAATACTGTCTAATAGCAACCCCTGCTTTAACGATGATCCAATGGATCAGTGTGATACCTTCAAAGGAAACATATAAAGTATCTATTTAGTAGAGGTGGAAGATAGCTATAATGGCATAGAAAAGACTTTTCTTAATAGACTAAAGATAAAAGAAAAAATTTTTTTATCATAATATCAAAACCAGAAATACCCAGAAAATAAAGGTAGTAAGTTTGAACTTCCCAGTTACATGGGGATTTACCAAAGGGAGACTCTTAGAACATTGGAAATTCTTTTGTTCCCTTAAAACAGACTACTTGTTAAATAAACCTGGATTCCAAGGTGAAATAGCAGTAGTGCTATATTAGTAATCAGAATTCTGTATAGATGACAAATCAGCAGACTTTTTCTCAATCCCTAACTCCCTCCTCCATGATGGACAGCTCCAGTGTTGAACTTTCACTAATTTATTCAACAAGTAATGTACTGAGTGTCTGTTGTGTGGAAGGCACTCAGCAATCTGTCAGTTCATCAAGCATTTCAAGGCATCAAAAAATGTATCATGGACGGAATACACTTGTGAAGATAGGATTAATGTCCTTTTTAAAATAAAATCTTAAAGCAGAATTACATTTTCAAAAGTTTTTTGACTTGTACTTTCAATATACTAACACTGATGATAACATTAAAAAAGGAGAGAATTCTGAGGTTGGGCAATTCCCTAGAAGTATGCCTTTTTAAAAATTTTCTGTTTGAGGTTTGATAGGATAATGACTAAAGAGAAAAAAAAAAAAAGGTTTCATTTCTTTCAAAGTTGAAAGCCATGAAAATATGTACTTCTTAGTTATGTAATGTGCTCCCTGAAAGCCTCCATTTCTTCATCTGTGAATAGAAATTTAATTCAACTAAGGAATTCAATGAACAAAATGGTGATGATAATACTTGCCCTTACTAAAGCACACTATTTTTGAGGGGTGGAGAGTAAAGAATAAAAGAGAAATGTCAGTACAGGACCTACTCATTACAGAGTTATGTTACTTATGATCTAAGTAGGGTTTATGTAAAAAAGATGTTTATATTTCCTCAAAAATCATGATATTTCAAAAAATGATTATATCGGTGTATTTTTTCTATTTTCTATTTTTACAATCCTAAGTAAATAATGGTTATATTTATGGCGATCATAATTTTTGTTGTTAAGTGCCATCGAGTTGGTTCTGAGGAGCAGCTGGTAAGCTTTAATTGCTGACCTTGCAGCTCAAACTCACCTTGCAGTCCAGTGTTGATCTTATAGCACCACACCAGAACTCAATGCAATTTTCAAGTGTTATCATGCTAAGATAATTTGCATAAAGTATCAACTTGTGACCTCTATACAGAGTCAGAATTGACTCTACAAGTGGGTATGATGTCTAAGCATTTTGCCATTATTAACACTATAAAAAATGAACCATGTTAATAAAATTAAAGATGGAAGAATATGTTTTCTAATCTGCTCGTATACTTAAAAACAATGGTTTCTGGTGATTAAAAGAAAACCATGATACCTGATGCCCTATTACACCATAATCACATTAGTCTTTGATCCTCAAAAGTCCTCAGGTGAACAATGTAGTGAGTATGATTTTTGGCCATCTGGTATGGCACTGTGGGATAATGCACTAGTCCACAAGCTCAGTTTGAACTGCATGGTCAGTGGTTCAAATTCACCAACTGTTCCTCCGAAACCCTATACAGGATTGCTATGAGTTGGAACCAACTCAATAGCACTTAACAACAAGAGCAGCTACTTTTGGAATTCTGGACACTAAAGTATTTGATAAGTGACTCATAGTAACACAAAGTTCTTAAGTCAAAGGTAGAAAAAACAGGAATGGGGTGTAAGGTTAGTATTTAGCACATCCATCATGATTCAACCACTAGGCTACATGTTTCTCAATACATGTTCTGAAACAGAGAAATTGCAAAAGAACAAGTCTCAGTGCATAGTTTTTGCAAATTTCCTTGGTAGTTTATAAGCAGGGTTAAACAAGGTTGGTCTGTTATGGCAGATATATTGGTTACTCTTTCTGCGTCATAGGTAGTGAGTCAAAATTTTAAAGAGATTGTAATCAAATGACAGATATTGATGTGTGATTTATGGGAAAGGAAGGTGAAACATAAAAGGGTTATTTAGCACAGCAATCTAACAAATGTTTGGTCCAAATCCAAATCATAGGAGTCAAAAAAGTATAGACCAGGGAATCTGGGTGAGCTTCATGCTGAAATCTTGATTGTTTGATGACCTCCATCTGCATCTCTTTGCTTTCTATTATCAAGCTGACTCACATTTGAAAGGTGCAAATGGCAAAAATAAAATTAGATATGAATGTTTGGATCAACTGCAGTCTACAAAACATCTACCTTCATTTAGATGTGACACTATAGGATAAGCACTGGGTTGCTAACTACAAGGTTGGCAGTTCAAACTTACCAGCCACTCCTCACAAACCCTATATAGGGTCGCTATGAGTCAGAATTGACTTGACGGCACTTAACAACAACAACAACCTTTGTTTAATGAAAAAATGACCTTTAAACCAAATCTTTTATCATGAGATTATGATACCATCATTGCCTTTCTATTTATGCCTTCTCTATCATGTGGGGTCCTGATGTGGCATTATTTGATAAGCACTGGACTGCAAGTTAAGTTTGAACTGCAAGGTTGGCCGTTCAAAACTCACCAGCCATTCCTGGGAAACTGTATACAGGTGAGTCAGAACTGACTTGACTGCACTTAACAGCAACAACAACTTCATGTGGAATTAGTCCCTGCAAATCTAATGTTGTATATTGCTGGGACAACCATGAGTAAGAACACTTTTGGTACTGAATGTCTAAAATACTCCTGGTTGGATCTCAAATGAATTGTTGGAGGAGGACAACAAGAGACATGTTTCAATAACTTATAAATAAGAGAAATTAAGAGTGCATGAGTCTGTTTCAGAAATCAATATTTATTAGTCATTAGAACAGAATAAGGGGACACTGAATGGTTTAAAATCATGAAAGGTATGTACCAGGGGTTTATCATTTCACCATACTTACTCAGTCTGTATGTATAAGTTCTGATGTGGCACTGTAGTATAGGTACTGGACTACTAACCACAATGTCAGAAATTCAAAATCACTAGCTTCTCCTAAAAAAACTTTATACAGGGTCACTATGAGTCAGAAATGACTTGATGGCACACAACAACAACAACAACAACAACAACATGCTGATCAAATAATCTGAGAAGCTGGATTATATGAAAAACGTGCCATCAGGACTGGTGTAAGACTCATTAACAACCTGTCATATGCA